ACGGAGAGTAACATCACTGATAAGGCTAAGAAAGAATGACATCACTAGAGGTAAAAAGATGCAACACAATGTACATCTTCAAGGACTACAGACTATATGCATAACCTGAAAGCATAAGGGTATGTGAGGTATTGCATTCATAAACATGAATGCAATACCCAAACATTTTGAATAGTAGGTCAATCTCCGTGCTTTGGCTGGCTACTAAACAGCACTGTGGGCAACCAAAGCTGGTAAATCTGTCTTTATGACAACAATTATATATAACTGTGATCACAGTAAATATCATGATGCCCAGGCAGCTGCTTGTTAATTAACAATGTGTTGGCATTTCTTTGTACTGTCTTATTTAAAATTAATATATTGTTTTACTGCCTCCATATTCTCAAACACTTTCCTGTTTTCCATACAGCTATTCCGTGTAAGGCAGTGGATATTTCAGTATACATATACATTGTCAGGTGCTGTCAGCAAGATATTTTATACACCTAACAGAGCACAAACTGTTTTCCTCATCCCATTTTCACAACAACCACCACCCCTCTTACCATTCTCTGAGACAACATTCACAGCCATTGTTGTTATATCTTGAACGCAGGCAGCTTGAAACCCTTCAGTGGGAGGTGTGCCGTAGGTGCTCAGTCCAGTCACTTTATTGATGTATATTGTCTTACCCGACGAAACATCAAAATCTTGCATCCAGTCAGACCACAAATCATTCCTGCGGTCACCTGTGCTTGTGTTATCTGCAGAGAATTCCAAGCTACTTGGGATGGTCACATGGGGAACCTCAGTGTCTTTCAAATTTTGTTCTGAGGATTCATCTAACGTACTTTTATCTTTACAGATGATGTTAGTACAATCCTTTTCAGCAGGTAATGATAAAACACAACTCGGAGAGACTGTGTTTTCCCCTTCTTTATTGCTGAGTGATGATGGGCTAACAGTAGCTTTCATGGACTCTACCATCCTATCATCTGATTGACAGCATGCATCCCCCTTAGAAAGGCCGTAATGACTTTCCTTCATTTTTCCCCCTGAGGATTTGTATGTTTGAGAAGCATTGTACAAAAAGTCATTATTTGAAGATTCAAGATCAAAAGAGTAGTCATCTTTTCTACTTGAATTTGTTTGGAATGGTTCACCAAGTTGTTCTACTTCTTTGTGGTCACTTTTCATTCTGGACAGTTTGGATGATAATGATCCTGGAGATCTTTTACAAGTTATTTTCTTTGTACTAACCTGAGAGTAATCAGACAACGTCAAAGGACTCTGACAAAGGGCTCGTTTGTCCTGTGAAGTTTCTCCACTGCAAAGTAAAGTCTCTTCCAAAGAACCGAACACTTGGCTACTATTATTAGAATCTGTATCTTCCAAGGCTGGAATTTCACAAGTGTTCAAGCTACCATGGTTGTCATTCTCATTCTTTGAAAAGTCACAATTACCTTGTGAAGTAAAAACCGGAAGATCAAATTCACTCCTCTCCGACAATGGCGTTGGTAGGGTACACTTGACTCTCCCATAATATCTCCTGAACTTTTCTAATGAACCCAGCTGCGTGGACAAGGTCAGCTTCTTAGAGGGCTGAGATCTTGGCACAGCTATTTGTCTTCTACTGCTTTTTATAACTTTATTGTGAGGAAAATCCGAAGAAGTTGCCCGTAGCAATTCTGCAATATTCAATGTCTCATGTTTTTTGCTGGTGGCAATAGGCATAGCTAACCCTTCACTCACCTGATTTGACGAAGTTTTGTTCTCTAACCACTCATTACCATCAGCCATGCATACTTCTCTGGTGTAAGGAGGTGCACGTTCTTTATTTGTATTACTGGAAATATCCTTAGCAATTATAGAATGAATTGGAAAATTCACTTTGTGGCCAAAAACCTCCTTGGCACTGAGAGAGGCAGGTGTACACTGCACATTTAATGCAGGATTTGCTTCTGTTTGTTCACGTTCATGTGGGGGCTCATTTTGCATAACATGTGTTACGGGGCCTGTGGAGCACAATTTTAATGGTACTGAACTAACAGCCCCTCTTCCAGCATCATCTACCTCTTCAGCTGGTTCCCTGTCTCCTCTTCTCACATTGTAGTGTCTCATCAATGAACTTCCAGAGACGGTTCCAGGTTCCATTGCTGTTTCAGTAGGGTCTTCTCTCTCAGTTGGTGGTTGAATAATATCATTATTTAAGATACGGACTGTATGGCTTTTCTGCACCACTTTGCCTTGCTGGCTTCCCACATCTTTCATGCAATTCTCTGCACAACGGTGCAGGTCACCACAACTGTCTGTTTTTTTTGTTTCTGATCTGGCCCCTCCACTAAAAGAGGAACAAAGATTTTCTGAAGGTTTCAGATGAGTACCAGCCACATTTTGGGAACTGCTGGTGTCTTTTTCCTCCTCCTCCAAGGTATTTGATATAATGAAATCAGAGACTGTGTCATCTTTGCTAGGCAGTGGAATCCCCACTTGGTTGTTTCTACATGGATCAGACGGTTCAACAATCTTCTGATTTGGGGAAATTTCTGTTTCCTGTAGATTTTTATTTGACTCTGTAAGATTCGAAGATTTTTTTTCAGTCACAGATTTCCTTTTGACATCTTTTGATTGCAAGTTACGCATTCCATAGGAATCCATAATTTCATCACATGCTTTCTTAAAACTGTTTTGGATGCTCTTCTCATCAGAGAGCAATGGCTTCAGAACTGAAGCGCTATACAAACAAAAGTCATTATCTTCATTAAATTCTCTGATGTCCTCACTACACAGTTCAATAAATAGATGTTCTCGTTTCAAAAATATTTTCACTCCTTCCTCTACGCAAGTTAGAAGAACATCCCAGTTCTGGAACTCGATCAGAGTTTTTGCAGGTTCCAGACACACATCATAGTCACTGTATGCACAGGTCACATTGAGAATAAAGATCCCATACAACTCCGGGCCACAACGATGGCGACCAGGACTTGAACTAGGCTGTCTGCTCACAGGGCCACTTTTTGCCTTGCAAACGACACTTTGTTTTCTTAATAAAAAATCAATTAGCTTATGTAGTCTCGTCTTTAAAACAAGCCTCCTATTCACATACAAGAACTGCATATTCTTGTTGTAATGTCCTTCAGTACTGATATAACCACTTAGCTCAAATCCCCCAGACTTATGATTTATTTCTCTTAACTTCTGGGATTTGCCCGGTCCATAAATTTGACAAAACCGAGAGTACACATCTCTTGTCTTAGGGAGCTGAAGCACCATAGAACAAGAAGCATCATTCCTTAAAGAAAGCGAAACAGAGGGATGCATCAGAGAAATAGCCTCTACTTTCTGTCTCACTCTCTCAAATTCCAATACAGGATCCATACACTTTCTCCTCACCGGTAACTGATGGAACAGATTACACACAGTGACTGTAGTTCCGCCACTTGGTCTGCTCAATTCAGCTTCACAGACTTCCAGTGCTTGCCCATTGTGAAATATTTTCACAAATGTGCTTGCTGTCCTGCTGGTCTTAGATGAAACTTCTACTACGCTGGCCATGTTGGCTATGCTTGCCACAGCCTCCCCTCTAAAGCCATAGAACGTCAGGTTCTCCAAATCTCCCACTGAGCTGCACTTGCTGGTGAAGTACCGCTTCCCCATTGCATTTAAGTCTTCTCGCCCCATCCCAGAGCCGTTGTCCACCACCTGGACCTTAAAAGCTTCCAAATCCACCCTGACAGCTACACATGTTGCCTTGGCATCGATGCTATTGAGGACAAGCTCCTCAACACACTGCCCCAGCGAGTTGACAGTCACTCCAGAACGCAGCCTGGCTCGCACATCTTCTGCCAAACATTTGATCATGTCAACATCAAGCCAGGTGAGAAACACAAGAAACTGCAGGGAGCTCACTTCTCCATGTTCCTTAAAGCAACTCCCTTGGTGGAGAGAGAAAAAAAAAAGAGAAGAAAAGATACAAGTTAAAGGCAGTTGAGTTGACAGTCACTCCAGAACGCAGCCTGGCGGGCACATATTCCACCAAACATTTCATCATGTCTAAATCAGGTGAGAAACACAAGAAACTGCAGGGAGCTCCCTTCTCCATGTTCCTTAAAGCAACTCCCTTGGTGGAGAGAAAAAAAAAGAGAAGAAAAGATACAAGTTAAAGGCAGTTGAGTTGACAGTCACTCCAGAACGCAGCCTGGCTTGCACATATTCCACCAAACATTTGATCATGTCAAAATCAGGTGAGAAACACAAGAAACTGCAGGGAGCTCACTCCTCTGTGTTTCTTAAAGCAATTCCCTTGGTGGAGAGAAAAAAAAAGAGAAGACATACAAGTTATGGGCCTGAGGAAACTTTCATTTATTGCATTCACCCTCATAAATACACTTTTCCTGCTATTGAGGGACTTTTTCTGTGATTGCTTTCAGGCCCAGGCTTTGACTACACATGGTTGGTGGCTTCAATGTGTCAATGGCCAGAATGTGAGTCTATGCTCCTTATTAAAAATATACACGATCCCCCACCTTAATATACCAACACCGCGACAAGGTGAAGCTCGAAGGGGACCCACAAGCAAAAGCCTTCCGCTGCCATTTGCATCAAAACCAGCACCGAGCAGCAGGGCACGGAGAGGCTTTCCTCTTTTACCTCAAATTTCCTCACAAAAAAAACCGCAGGGCCCGATTCTAACCCGCGCTTCTCGGTATCCTCCCCCCCCTCCCAACTCCCCTCACGCCAACGTCCGCGGCGCGAGACCAACCGTGGGCGGGCTACCGGCTCCCTGCGCGCGGCTCCTCAGGAAGGTGACAGGCGAGCTGCGACCAGGCCGGGCGCATAGGGCGCATGCGCGGAGGCTGACTGGGACGGCGGGGGACTACGATTCCCAGCATGCCTGGCGTACGCCCGCGCGGGCGTACGCCAGGCATGCTGGGAATCGTAGTCCCCCGCCGTCGCAGGCGAGGCCTGCGATCCACTCCTCATTCCCCCCCGCGTCTAACAGATCCATTCCACACGAGAAAGCTCCAAGCGATTTTATTCTAAAGGCGGGCTAACAAAAATAAAATAAACCTCTGCAACAAAAATACCATCGTTTCTGGGAGTTCTCTAGAGCTGGCTAGAAAGAAGACGGGGAAACACTGGGCCAAAGCCACCTCACGCTCCGGGTTTGGCTTCTTCCCGGGGCGAAGTTACTTCAAAATCTGGAATTCCTTGTGCTCCAGCGCCGCGATCTCCTTCTCGTTGCTGAACTCGGCGTGGCTGATGCGGGACTGGGGACTTCCTGTCTTCCTCAGCCATTCCTGCAGCTCCCGCACCCTGGCAGTCGGACCCTGGATTTGCCCTTGCACCGTGCCGTGGCTGGTGTTTTGGACCCAACCGACGAGTCCCAGCCTCTTGGCCTCCCCCTGAGGAGACAACGCAGAGCAAAATGAGATTAATCCGAGCTGGAAGAGTCAATTTTTAAGACCCAGATCTCCAAGGAAGCTCCTACGGCAGGAAAGCAGCAGAGGATTCACAGGATCGCGGACTGGCTGGGATTGGAAGGGACCTTAGAAGATCATCTAGCCAAATCCCCCCTCCAAAGCAGGGTTCACCTAGACCAGGAATGCATCTAGGTGGGTCTTGAGTATCTCCAGAGAAGGAGACTCCACCACCTGTCTGGGCAACCTGTTCCGGGGCTCTGCCACCCTCAAAGTAAAGAAGATCCTCCTCATGTTTAGACAGAACTTCCCATGATTCATTTTCTGCCCATTACCTCTTGTCCTGTTGCTGGGCACCACTGAAAAGAGTCTGGCCCCATCTTCTTGACACCCGCCCTTCAGATACTTATAAGCATTGATCAGATCCCCTCTCGGTTTTCTCTTCTCCAGGCTAAACAGTCCCAGGTCTCTCAGCCTCTCCTCGTAAGAGAGGAGCTCCATTCCCTTGATTATCTTCATAGCCCTACGCTGGACTCTCTCCAGTGGTTCCCTGTCCTCCTCTAACTGGGGAGTCCAGAACTGGACTGGTTCACGGTCAACGTGTTGTCCAACCAGGACTCCCAGGTCCCTCTCTGCAGAGCTGTTCTCCAGCAGGTCAACCCCTAACCTGTGCTGGTGGATGGGGTTATTCCTCCCCAGGTGCAGATCCCTACACTTGCCCTTGTTGAATTTCATCAGGTTCCCCTCCACCCAACTCTCCAGCCTGTCCAGGTCTCGCCAAATGGTGGCACAGCCTTCTGGTGTGTCAGCCACCCCTCACAGTTTTGTGTCATCAGATTCACCCAACTACTCCTTACAGTCTTTCACACCAAAAATTGGGGCTGAAACCCCCTTTTCAGTCGTTCTGGCATCACACAGCACTGAGAGAGAGCAGCCTCCACCCGCGGGCAGCAGCAGCCGTCAGCCAGCCCTGCCCAGGCCCCCCAGAGGAGACGCCACAGGCCCGGCAGTGCTGATGAAGGGCACCGCGCACTCCGGGAAGGCAGGCCGCACCCCGGGAAGGACACCGCCACGCCCCGGCCCGCACCTGGGTGTACTTGCGGAAGAAAACGCCCTGCACCTTGCCGGACACCTCGTAGTCCACGGAGAGCAGGCCCTCGCCCTGCGCCATGGCGGCCTCTCGCCGCTTCCTCCCCCTGCCGCAGCCGCGCGCGACACTGCGCCTGCGCGGCGCTGCCAGCGGGGAGGCGTGGCCTCGCAACGCCGCTGTGGCCAATGAAGAGCCAGGACCCGAGAAGGGGCGGGGACCGCCTCATGAATAATGCATATCGGCGCGCCCGCCGGCCCACCGCACCGCGCCGGCCATAGAGGTGGGGTCCTCCGGGGGGCGGAGCGGAACGCGGGCGGAGCGGGGAAACCACAGAGAGGCCGCCCGCCGGCGAGAGCGGCGCAGGAAGTGGCATTCGCGTGCCCGTCTCCAGGCAACAGCCGTCAGTGGGCGCAGCGCCCGGGGCGGCGGCGGGCGGGGAGCGGCGGACAGGGCTCCGCGCTGCCCCGCGGCGAAGGCGGAGGGCAGGGGGAGGTGTCGGGGGGCTCTCGGGCGATCCGAGACCGATGAGCCAAACGGGAGGCGACGCAGCTTGCCGAGGAGACCGGGCAGAGCGCCGGCCACAGCCCCGCAGGTAACACCGCCCGCCACCTGCGGCCTGGGTACCTGGCACACTTGGGGATGCGGGAGAACAAGTCACGGGAAGGTTGTACCGAGCTTTGCCCGAGGCCTGTGTATAAGAGCTTTGTGCCACACCGGCTGAGCTGTGATGCCAAAACTGAAGGGACAAGATGAGGGCCACCAAGATGATCAGAGGGCAGGAGCACTGCTCCTGTGAGGACAGGCTGAGAGAGCTGGGGTTGTTCAGCCTGGAGAAGAGAAGGCTCCAGGGAGACCTTATAGCGGCCTTCCAATGTCTGAAGGGAGCCTGTAGGAGAGCCAGAGAGGGACTCTGTCAGGAAGTGTAGTGACAGGACAAAGGGTAAATGGCTTCAAACTGGAAGAGGCTAGATTTAGATTAGATATTAGAAGGAAATTTTTCACTCTGAGGGTGGTGAGATGCTGGACCGGGTTGCCCAGAGCAGCTGTGGATGCCCCATCCCTGGAGGTGTTCAAGGCCAGGCTGGATGGGGCTTTGAGCAACCTGGTCTAGTGGGGGTGTCCCTGCCCATGGCAGGGGGGTTGGATTGAGATGATCTTTAAGGTGCCTTCCAACCCAAACCGTTCTGTGACTCTGTGATTCTATGGCACATTATGGGAAACACTCTGAGGGAGTATAACAATTTCTCTGCAGTACAGCATATTTCCGCTGCTACTATGATAAGACAAGGCTCAAAATAAAAGCATATCTTATTTCTGGCTGCAAAAGTGACTGGTGCTGGAAGAGGCAGCATGGGAGCTGGAACATAAGGAAGGATGGAAGGAACTTTAAGATTTACAAAACCCAGAAAAGTTACAAAACCTTTGCTAATAGTTGTTGTGGATGCTCATTGTAGCCTCCAGGTGCAGACTGTTAGGAGAAAATTTGTCCAGTTTTGGATAAGATAGCCTGTAATGACTTTTCTTCTAACTTAAGGCTCTTTCTCAGGCACTGAATGGCTTTGTTTCCACCAGTGGATTCTGTGGTGGCAGCTACTAAGCTTGTTCCCAGTTCCCAGCTGCAACACCAGAAGAGCAACTTCCAGCATGAACTCATATCTGACAAAGAGGAAAGTTTAAAGGATCTCTATGCCCGAAAGAGCCGAAGCTATTCCTATTCTCTTTCTGCAGAAAGGAGTCAACACAGCTCCAGGCACGAAGGCATCTGTTCAGCTGGACTGCAAGGCAAGTATCTCACCAGCCAGACCAAGACTCTGCCAGCTAAATCAGTAGCCAGACGGAAAGAAGGAGTGGACCGTGCACATCCCCTGAAACCAATTTTTCACCACAAGGGTGTGAGCGTTCCAGTGGTCAACAGAGAACAGGACAGAAGTTCCCCATATATGGAGGAAGCTCCAAATACTAGGCCTAGCTCGAGGAGCAAGGGGAAGCCTCCAGCAGAGAGGGCTCAGCCAGGCGCAACGCTCTCTCCTTGGACAGCAGAGCCTACACAGTCAGCCTCCCAGCTATACAGGAGAGAGCTGGCCTACATCCTAAAGTTGGAGGCAGATGGACGGAACCTGGAAGAGGAAATTCGAAAGAAAGAGGCTCTCCTCAGAGAGAAGCTGAGGAGAACAAAGGAGGAGCTTAGGAGGATTCAAAGAGAGAAGGAGCTTGTCGAGGCAGAGGAGAGAAGAGACAGAGAAGCAGAGAGAAAGGCACAAAGGCACCTTGAAGAGAAAGCTTTCAAAACAGCAGTCAAGCCAGGTGACAGGGTCTTTGGTGGGGCGCAGTCAGCAGAAGCCACTATCCCCAAGCCTGGTACCACCCTCCACCCTCAAGACCTGGCTATGGGGAAACTCAAGAAGGAGCGGCTGGTGGCCAGCAACAGCAAAATTCGAGACCGCATACCCATGGAGCATTTAACCTCGTGTTCAGAGCTGGCCCAAAAACCTAGCCCTTCTCCCTCTGCCCTCCCACACCGACATTCTGACGACCATTCGCCCACAGAGGTGCCACACGTGCAGGCTGCCAGTGCTGTGGAGCAGGGGGGGCTCGGGCAGTGCAGCTTCTGCGGACGTAAGTTTCTCTCCACCAGGCTTGAGAAGCACATGAGTGTCTGTGGCAAGAGCCAAGGCTCCAAGAGGAAAGTGTTTGACTCCAGCAGGGCCAGAGCTAGGGGCACAGAACTGGAACAGTTTCAGCAGTGGAACGGCTTGGAGAGGCCTCAGGTAACGTGCAGTCCCTTTGCCTCCCTCTATCTGGGTCCACTGCTCACTTTTCTTCCACCTCAACATCTAATTCTGGCTGAGATTTGAGTGTCTTCATGTGTACGTGGGGTTAGGGGACACAATGAAACTATTGCCTCTGAAAGATTCTTGCCAAATGGATAAATAAATCAATTAAAAATCTAATAGATGGGGGGTAGGGGTCCTAACTGACTTGTAATATGTCAACGGTGTACTCCTGGAGAAAGCTCAGTCCTTGCTGTAGTCAGCATGCTCAGGATGCAGACTGGGTCTGCTGCAGTGAAGCGCTGTGAAAGTTTTAAAGGGGCTGCAGGGAAATGACTGAAAATCCAGGTAATGATACTGGCTATTAAAACAAAGGCAGTGGAAACGTGCAGCTTTCTTCCTGCGAAGCAGCTATAGCAACCCTCTCCAGTTCCTTTGCCCCACTGCTTGCTTCTCTGGTTATTCTCGGGCTCTTTCTAAGTATTGATAACTCCATCAGTATTTCCTTCGAGCCCTCCCTGGCGCTGGTCTTTTTGATGCCCTTTGCAGGACTCAGCTTCTCAGGGAGGGTTTTACACCAGCCAGGAATGCTCAGGGAGGGGTGACCTGAGTTGGACTGTGACTATAAGATTGAGAATAGAGGCTGACGGTAGTGCCAGTTGCACTGACTGCCTTTCCCTTCTGCAGAGTAAGACGCCCAGAAGGATCAACTGGAGGCAGAAGCACGAGGTTTTAATCCAGACCCTGCGCCAGGCCCGCCAGTTGCAGCAGGTCCTCTCCAAGGGAGGGAAGGTGTCTGACCTGCCCCCGTTGCCTCCCATCGAAAACCCGGACTACATTGCCTGCCCCTACTGCGGACGCCGGTTTGCTCCCCAGGCTGCTGAGAGACATATTCCCAAATGCAAAACCATCAAGAGCAGGCCCCCGCCCCCACCGCAGAGGAGGCGCTGCTGAGGCCGTGTCCCGCTGTACCCGCTGCCCTGACTCCCTGCCTGGTTTTTTGTCAGGTGTCCAGCCACAGACACTTGTGTCAAACTGTCTGTGAGTGTTGAGCTTGTGTGTGTACAGCAAATGACAGCTCAGGACGTACAAACAGAATACTAGAAGTTGTGTAGTTTCACCTGTGCCCTGGGACGCCCCACGTGGGGTGCCCCTCTGGGGGCTGCTCCTCCCATCCGATGAGCTAAACGGGGAGTCTCAGTGTAGGTGTGAAGCTGTCGCCATTCAGTCAGCTGAGCAGGGAAGAAAGGCTGTTGCTACAGACTGTCACGGGACAGCAGCAAGGAGCAAACCAGCCATCAGAAAGGGAACTGTTCTTCAGAATCATATTTTGCCTGTAAGTTAGGGAGGCTTGGGCTTTTTGAGATGGCTTTTTGACATCTAATGATATCTGATGTGAAGAGAGCTGCTCTCCTTTAGCTCATCAGTGGCTGCAGACTCAGGTTGTTTTTCCTTCTCCAAAGGCAAAGAGCAGTGCTGGTCATGAGAAGAGCTGGGCCAAACAGAGCATCTGCCTCTGGTTTGCTTTCCTGGCCTGTGGGTGCAGATGTTCCCCCTGAATATGCTAACGGTGACAGTAGTTCTGGCTGGCCTAGTGTTCTTAGTGAAGCTACCTAACAACAGACTGGGATGGCTGGGAGAACTGGGAGGAGTATTATTAAATGCTTCCTCAACACAAGAAGCTCTGGATGAGACACCCAGGGGGTTAGAAAAGCTATCAGGAGCAGGCATTTCCCACTTGAGTCCATATGTCAATTCTGGTGCACAGAACAGCAGAGATACACAGGCCCTTGAAGCAGCAGAACAACCATCCCAACGTGTTACTTACCACGTACAATAGCTGGGACTCAGAGCCGGGAAAGGGTGGAAGAAGAAATACTTAATTAAAGAATAATGCCACACAAGATCAAAAATAGGTCATGAATAAGCTCAGACTGGAAATTGGGTTTCTATCCAGGACAGGAGTGAGGTCACTGAAAAACCTTCCAAGTAGGCACAGGCAAGGGATCTACATTGTTTCAGGGTGGACTTGGAGAAGATCGTGGAAGGCAGCAGACGGCAGGAGTCAGACATTAAGACCTATGAAACAGAGCATTTGTTCCTACCTCCAGGCGTCTCGTATAAAGTGTGAAGAACAGATCAGTGACAGTTCTGTGCCACAGCGTATCACTGTCAGCAGCTGAGAAGGAATTTCCTTCCCACGGCAACCTTCCCTCAATTCCTAACTTGGCTTCTGATTACTTTTATTTTTTAATTTCCATCCGCAATGTTTAAAAACTGCTACAGCTAAAAAAAGCCAAGCACCCCCTGCTCCCAGACGGCACATTAAGGAACTTCACATCAGAAAACCTGTTAGCTGCTTCACTCCTATGTTTAGGGTTAAATCAACAATTAGATTTAACATTAAAAAAAATGGAGTTCTTTTGCAGGCCAAGTCACTAGGGTCCTCCAAAACACACTGTTAAAGGGTCTTTTGGAGGAAATAGGTGTCCTACAGCCCCTTTTAGAGAACTGCCTGCTTCTAATTGGTGACAGTTCCTGCACATTTCTAAGTCAGTTATTTTTCCAGATTCTGATTTTTAATAATTAGACTAGTTCTTTGTGTAAAAGTTGTTTTAAATAGTCACAGAGTGGTTTGTGTTCTCAAAGTAAGAATGACTACTTCTATATGAGAAAGTTGCAACAGGAAGCAAACAAGGAACAAAAAAAATTCCAGCAGTTCCTTTTGCAAGTCCTTCAGTAAGGCAGCAGCAGCTCATGGGAACCTAGGGAGATACAGAAAGCGACCAGATGAAACTGCACTAGTCAGAAACCAAATACGAAGAAACACTCCAGCCTTCAAAGGGTGGACCAGACTCCTGAAAGAAGCTTCTGCCCTACAGATATGTGGGGCAGAAATCCCAGTCCCTTGGCACATCCTAGAAAAGCGTGAAGGTCCCAGAAAAGGTCAGCGCTGCACGGTGCCAGCCAGGTACAAGAGAGCACAAACCTAGAGAGGAGAGAAAAAACAGACTCGAAACAAGGGAAAATAATTTGCTCTGTCTAAATTGATCATCAGACAAGCAAGACCAATGCTCTTACCTCAGAGCTTTGAGATACAGGATACCAAGAGGTGACAAGAGGTAGAAAGTGGTAAACTGGAAGCTTTATGCCAGACTCTTTCAATTAATGAAAGGTGTAACTGACAAAGAGTAGTTCAGAAATTCAGTACCACTGTCTGTCTTGTAATATTAACTCCAATTCCCTTGCAACACATTCATTGACTGTGTTTAGCAGACCCTAAAAGTCAGCAGAGTGTAAATGGTGACAGAGATACACACAGAAAAGCTTTTGTTACTGTAAAATAAATCCATATGTTGGAGACTTCTCTGAAGTGACAGGCAAAAGGCTGATGCTGATATTGAAACTGTAGATTAAACAAAAATTACTGAAGTTACATCACTAGGCTTCACTCGTTATCTTTGTTTCAGAGCTAACTGTGGGCAGTTCACCCTTCTTTGCTGAGCGATTGTTTCAGGTCAAGACAGACACCAGTATCCACAAAGTCTCTGGTAACTGGTTTAAAACTTAGTGGCAGTTTATGCGAAGCACCAGGCTCAGCACAGAGACTTACCCGGCTGCTTTGCTGTCGTGGTTAGCAAAGCTAACCAAGCCCTGGTACTCAAGCTTCTTCTGCCTCTGCAGTACAATCCCCCTCTCTGCATTTTCAGCATCTAGATCTCTAGTGATTTTAAGTCTTTAACCCAGCTCTGCCTCTTAAGACGTTTCACAATTTACAAAGAACCCTGATAAAAAGTTAGAAGAGCCAGGCATTAAGCACAGTGTGCAGGAACAGCTGGCTGAGCAGGTGTCAGGCAGGTTCTTCCTTCCATAGGCCTTAATGCTCAGTAGAAGCTGTTCTGAGAGAAAAAGGTACTTCTTCCCTTTGAGCCTCTCTCTTCCCATTACTCATTTCCCACTTGGCACTCCGACTGCTGAAATAAACACACACACAAAAGGCCCCTGACGTCACTAGGAGGAGATGCAGCAGCAAAAGAAAAGAGTTGTTTTGTTGTTTGTTGTTGGTTGCTTTTTTTAATGAAGGGACACAGACCCTGACATTTTTTTCCCATAGCAAAGAACCTGCAAGCCCCTTGGCCCTCTTTCTGTAAGCAAAAAAAAAAATAAATCAAACAACAGAATACCACGAAGCCAGCTGACTATGGGCATATTTCCCCTTCCTCTCTTGGAGGAAAAAAAAAAAAAAAAAAAAA